CACGCCGCTGACCCTTCTACAACAAATCAAAGTTTAGGTGGGATGTTACCGCCTTGAACCGGAGCCGGGTTTGGGAGGAAGGTTCGCCGCGGCCCCCCCGACCTGTCAGGGTTCTGTGGACGCTCAGTGTCCAGACAGGCATTCCTTTCCAGTCAATTAAGCCCTTGGCACCTCATCGACCGAGAAGGGATCCTCTTCCAATCAATGAGATCTTTTCACCCTGATAAATTGGAAGGGATCCCTTCCAGTCGATGAAGGTCTTTTTCCATGAAAAAAAAAAATGAATGGAAACAACCAGCAAGCCGGGAGGAAGGTTGACTGACGGTCAAAAAGGAAAATGTGGCAGTGTTGGTTTCCCTTGGAGGGTTCAACAGTTGACTGCTTTTCAAGTCGGGATTTGCTCCTCAAGTTCATTGTGGGCTTACCCCGGAGCTCCCTCTTCCTCTGCACATGGCATCATCAGTAGCGTCCTTCAAGGGCCAAGGGGCTCAGATCAATTGTTAAGAAAAGTGACGGCAGCAAGGAAAAAAGATTGAGGAAAGCTCCGATTGATTGTCCATGGGGATCTCTAGTGATGAACATTCTTTTGTTTGGTATTCCTGCCCTTGTTTACCACATTCCATCTCCCCACCTGTCCTCTGCATCTTTCTGTTTATTCATTCGACCCAGCTTTTGTAATTACAAAAAGATCTCATTGATTGGAAGGGATCCCTTCCAATTGATGAGGTGCAAGGGTCTCATTGACTGGAAGAAATCCCTTCTGGTCAATGAGGGTTCAAATACCTGATGAGGTGCCGGTCAGGAGGGAACAACTCCCAAACCCCCCATGCATGAGGGGTGTTTTGGGGAGCTGACTCCCAAAAAATAATATAAAAAATAACAAAAAATTGAAAATAAAATGGGGGGGGGACAACTCCCAAAAGCAACCCTCAGATTAGTTGACAACTCCCAATGGACGTCTGCTGACAGTCCTTGGGAGTCGTCAACTAATTTTTGGGAGTCGTTTTTCCAAGCCCCTAAAATTAACCACTGAGATTCTATTATTAGCTAATCCCATTTTCTTTTGCTCATCCTCTCTTAGTTCATGTACTGTGGGACTCAATGCTGAAAACTTGTCATGATTTCTGTCTTCTACACAAAAAATGAGAACAAGCACAAAGATCTGTTGTTGAAATTCTTCACCTCTAGGCCAAAAACTGGCTGTTGGCAATGGTCACTTTTGATGATATGAAAATTTGAGGAAGATAAATTCTGATACATTGAATTTTCATGCCCTACAGTAAAGGCCCTTAGAGCAACTCCACCACGGGCGGTAAATAGGGTTGCTAGTTGGAATTTACAGACTCAACATGAGCCACTGCGGCCGCTATTTGTGTCTCAAATCTACGGCCATCCCTAAATTTCAAGCCCGAGTCCCTACATGTAGGGACTCCTAGCGACTCCTCTATTGACTGCACAATCCCCTTTCACACAACAACCAGCTTGTGAAACTCCACTCCTCCACCTCAATCCAAATTGGTTCCAACTTCACACCACGTATTTTTGAAGACTCTTGCGGTGCATGCCACAGAACTTCAAGGCTGTGAAGTTGGCTGCACAGTCCCAACAATCAAATTCTAATGGCCCAAAACTAGGGGCCGCGGTGGAGTTGCTCTTAGTCCTCACCAGGTTTTTTCCCTTTCTTCTTCACTTCAGTTCATGTCTGGCTAGATCATCTAATTTGTTGTTGTGGTAAATCTTGTCTCTTCTTTGGTTCATTGTTCTCAAATTTTTCTTATCATATTCTCAACTCTGTTGTTTTTTAGGCTGGCTTTGCCATTTGAAATTTTGATTCCAGCCATAAAAATTTGTAGTTTTCTCAAGATGCTCAGGAGGGGTTGATTTGTAGGTGGTTTGAGATAGGAAGATGGTCAAGAGAGGTTGATTTTCCAGAAGACTTTCTGGTTGTGCATGTTCATTAGTATAACAAGTAACGTTTGACCACTCCCTCCAAACCTTCAACACTTTGCTGGCAATTTTATGAGCCCTGTCATGCATCATCTCAGCGTACTTTGCTCGCCTGTGTATGTGCTGCGGGGCGGCCTTTTGACGTCCTGAGTCCATACATTCAGCTCTTTATATGCGCGTGTCTTGGGACGCGACGAGATCTGAGTTCCTCAACTCAGTCCATTGAACGCGTCGGAGTTCCCGAAATACACGAAGAGACCGACAGGATGCACCACCTCCGTTTATTCAATCCGAACCACAACATCTTCATCAGCTGGAACAGATAATCGGAACGATCGACCCGAACTCGATAGCCACTCCCACATCCGAGATTCGAATTGATGAAGACGCCGTCAAATCATATCCATCGCCTTCGTTTTGTTCCCCGGCTCCAGTAACATCCGAAATCCTCGCAAGAAAGAACGTGTTTAACAAAGGGGAAATGCAAGCATTTAACCATGAGATATTATCAATAGCCACCGGTCCAGCAGCCCCACTCTTTCCACCCTTGAATCAGGAGGAGAGGGAGATTCTGTCTCAGATTATCAAACTCACACCACCAAATACGAACGCCTTCAATGCCCTCTTGTCTCCGTACGAAAACACTTTGAGACGCTATCGGATCGATCCCAAGATAGATGACAAATATTACACATTTTTACTCAAACTCAGTTTGGTACCTGGTAGCGATTGGAAGCAAAAATGGGCGAGGGTTTTATCCGATCAAGCCATATCTTCAGGCTTACCTCCAAAGCAAGCAATCGTACCTACTGCTACTCAAGTTCATCCAACTGCCCATGATCCAAGAAGAATAAAACAAACAGTCTATAGCGGCACACAGGATAAAGAAAAGTGGAAGGCCATCAACAGCAACGTGAAACCAGCTACTCATCAGACAGCTGCCCACTCAAAGTCCCGCCCTCCAAAATCGGTCCACTTTCTGCCCTCGAAAGCTGAAGAGAATGATCACAATCAAATCAAAGAACCGCCAGCAGCAAGAGATCTTTCATTGCCCGTTGAACTTCAGTCCGAGATTATCCAGTCAAAAATGACCCTTCTGATCGATCCCATTGATGTGAAAGCTAGGAAATTCAGACGAGAACAACTACTGGCTCGTTGTATGAATAAATGGATGAATTCGATAATTTATTGGAATACGCTGAATTCAGAGGCTCAATCCGCTCGACGTGTCCTCGACATCAGTACTGCACATCAAACTTGGACGCGAAAATTCCGTAATCGAGAGAACAAATTGAAATTAGTGGATACATCCTATAATACTCGGTTAGGATATCTACACATCTGTTTTTTCATTTTTTTTGTAAGGCACTCAAGCTGATATTTTGACCGGATGTTTTTTACGACTACCGATAGTTTATTATCCTCACATCTAGATCAATGGAGGAAGCTGACGGTTTCGAGGACAATCCAGAAGAAATCACTAGCCTTGAGGAATGCTTATCGAAAAACCAAAGGAACGAGGGAAAGGAACCTGGGTCGTCAAGTCTTAATTGTCTGTTTGTCTCCTTTGTTTTTGTATAAATATGTTTGTATATCCTCAAAAGCACTGTATGGTGATTGAAATGCTCACAAACTGATTCGATCAACAAATTATGGGAATGTCAACATGAAGATATGGGCTAATTATATGAATCAACGAGGATGTATAACTCCTCCGATCGGCGAGTGATTTACCAATCATTAAGCAATTGGTATCAAAAACTGCAATATCTCTCTCATTTATCTCACGCAGCGGATAATCTATTATCTAAATTCGATTCCATTCAACTCCACCGGATCTTGTCACAGTGGTTTCAAGAGGCTCTCTTGCGGTCGAAGCTCAGAAACTTTCTGCATGGTCGCGATTCTCAAGTCAAACATCAAGTTTTTATTAATTGGAAAATTTCGTTGTAAGTGTTGGTCGATAAGCTTGCCAAGTTTTTCCTCCTGTGTCGCTTTCTATTGACCCGTTACATTCCCCCTTTTCCAATCCCTCACAGAATCCAATCTCGCCAGAGCCACTTCTTTTTACTCAAATCACGTTTTCATAGACTTTTGAAGGCGTGTAGTAAATTTCGTGCTCGCCAACGCGTACGTGTTTTTCGTTTTTAGAATACCAGAAGATCCATCCCATGTTTCTGACATATATCCGTTAATTTATTTGCATCTATGATCAACAGAGGTTGGAGTTCTCAGAAAGTACAGTCTTGGCATTTCGAAGTTCAAATACTCAGTTACACGTTCTCAGGTATTGGATTATTTCTGGGCGGGGACGTTTATTTGCAAAGCTCGTCCAAACTAGATTGATGAGGATGCTTTTGCAGCGATGGCGGAGGCGCACGGCACACGTTCACCATATTCTCCCGCGTAAGTGAATGTCTAGCATGTATTCATGAAGAAATCCAGCATTGTTACTATTTCAGAAAAACAAAAACCGAGACGCAAGGCAATTATTAACGTTTGGGGTATCTTTTCTCCTGATAACGGAATGTTAAGAGCAGGCTTACAAAATCAATTCACTGTGCAGTGGACAGTCAACCTTGCCAATCATCACCTCCAGCACTGGATCCAGTATCATCATGCACTCATCCAACACTCTGCTCAAGCTCAGCATTTTCATAAACTACATGCCATTCGTGAATCTTTCTTGGCTTGGACGTTTCGTCATTGGAGGACTCAACAGCTGCAAACAGAAGCAAGTTCAACCCGAATCTATTTTTTACGCAAAAGGGTTTTAATCGTATGGAAACGCAGGATACAGAGGATAAGGGTAAATTTATGGCGTCAGGAAAAAACACTCGCACATCTACGCGATCGGTTTACCAGTTGAGTTTTTCTCATACTTTGGCATCAAGGAAACTGGGTTCAATTAAATCACCGGTTGAAAATTAGAAAGAATGACTCATGCCTTACTCTTATAAATTTTACAGCATGGAGACTGTTGTTTCACAAAAGACGGCGATTGTCGATATCCTTATGGACGTTCGATCAAAGAAGCGCCGAGGTGAGTCCAATATTGATTGTATAGACTCCAATGAAGACAAAGACTGATCCCGACCTAAACGCGTCAGCGTCAATGTATGAATGCGATTTCCCAATGGCGGATTCGGCTGACTCTTACAATCAGAAATGAACAAACAGCCGTAGAATTTGCTCAGCGAAATCTTATACAGTCAGTAAATTCATACAGCATTATCGTAGATGAAAACAGGCATGGCTGACCGGTAGGCGAAACATTATTGGAAAATCAGGAGGTTTTGGGTCACTTGGACCGACCGCCATCAATTAATCAGGGTTCTCATTCACGAATCAAGTTTGGTTGTACACCGACGTTGTCAAAGTGATTAACCCACTTTCTTGACAAACATTGATCATTCAAGTTCTAACCCACTTAACTCCTTCATAATTGTTGCAGCCCAAAAGTCGACCTTACTAGCTTATTGGCTCGATCGGACTCGAATCAAGGTTGCTCACAACTTCAAACTTGCCGAGTTTTCGAATCGCCGTCGTCGGGCGATTGTCATGTGCGTTTGGGAAAAGTGGAGGGATAAAATCCGGTCGCGGGAGTTAGAGCCGATTGTAAGACATCACCCACTTTGATCACACTCCAATCTGATGAAAGAGATGAGTGAACTTTTTTTTTCTACAGGAACAAACCTTTAATTTCATGCGAGATAGGAATTCCAAAACTCAGATAATGCAAGTATGGATAGCCAGATCGAGCTTACTCTTCTTGATAGGACAGAAAAAGCAGAATACTTTAATCGACTGTTTTAAGCTTTGGTATAATTTGACCCAATCCCATAAGCTCCGTAATCGATTCAATCTCAGAAAAAATCGATTGATCCTCAAGTTCTTTTTCTCTCTTTGGTGTAAAAAATCAATCGATTTAAAAACCATGAAAATTATTAGGTGAGTTGGCTGGCATCTTCCTGAATCCGTCTTTCCTTCTATTCATGTACTGATTACTTTGTTTTGCAGTCGATTTAAAAATAATCTAAGGATAGCACAACCCACGACTAGAAATACAAGAAGGTTATGTGCTCGTGAGGTAACAGAAGAAGATTATACAACAACCACTAGTCTGACTAATAGTTCATCTAATGAAACCTACGAGACCTCCCAATAATCAACTTGCCTCAAGAAAGTGATTACCAACCTTTAAAGATGGACCTAACTTTCTTGCCCTGGGATATTGTCATCTCGATTTATAATTGTCACTCATTGTATAAATCAGTACTAGTACTCATTTACTGCTGAACATTTTGTGGGTTTGAACATCCTTTCTTGAATACCTTTCAATAATCTTGTTTATTTGTTTTGCTACATTTGATTTATGTATTCTATGCACACTCCCAGGTAATGACATACAGGCATGTGTAACTATTCAATTTTTTTTTCAAGTTTTCAAGCAAACTGGCCTTTGGATTTTCTTTTTTAAAAAAAACCTGATATTTTGTCTAAGTCTCAATGCTCAGCTTTATTTGATGGTGACATTTGATTGAAATCAAGCTCTTCCCACCAAATAAAAATAAAAGTTAGCTTTGTGGGCTAAAGTAGAAATCAACACCAACAGGAGCTTTTCCAAAGCTATAGCTGCTTGACAATTGTAGCCCTATTGACACTTAGATGGCTGCTCCAATCCAACGGTCCCAACCTACTATGCAGTCTATTTCATAAGAACCCTATATTGTTTTCATTGCCAATGTCCCTCAGTTTTCACTTGTCTCTGTTAGAGCAAGAACCAAACCATGAGGAAACATGTGAAATAGTCTGTAGAGAATATTCATAACACTCCAGCCTCCCTCCAAAGAACAAAGAGCTTCAAGAGGGGTTTTTCCACATTCCATTTGATTACTGGTAAGTACCAGTAATATTTTTAATGGATCTGGGAAGGTGAATAGGGGAGAACCTTTTATCCTATTTTGAGAACTATCATAGCTCCCTCAGGTACAGGATAGTTTTGTTTGAGGTCCTGAAACTGATCAGAGTTTCCAATTTTTGAAATTTTCCAATGGAAGAGACCCCTTGCAGTGGGCAGTGGAGATTGTCTATAGATCTATCCCAAAATCATCATCCCACTCAAAGTAAAAAATGTTGTTGATACCCAAGATTGTTGATCAACATGCAAATTTTGATTTATGTTGCCATAATACAAAAAAGTACTTCAAATGGATGTATGTAATTGAAACTGGAGGTCAATTAGGTTCAAAATTATAAGGTTCCAATCCATGAAGCTTACTGGGAAAATGAAGTTTGAACCTACTCAAGTTTTCTACTATATGAAAACTCACACTATCAAGCTATAAAATGGTTGAAACAATTTGAAGAACCTAAGACTAGTGGTTTCCAAACCAGGGTGTTAGGGCACAACCTACATGAACTAAATATGAGAGTGAGAACAAGCAAGCCTACTAGTTTCTAAACTAGGGTGTAAGGGCACAACTTATGTGAACTAACAATGAGAGTGAGAACAAGCAAACCTGGGAAGAAATGAAGATAAGAAAAAGAACAGCACTAGAGAGAGAAATGAGAGACAAGAGATCAGGAACAGACCTGTGGCAAGCAAGACATGAGCAGCAACAGTGGTGAGTGAGAAAAGAAAACAAAAGACTAGAAAAAATGGATGAAGAAAAGAAAAACAATCATAGAAGAATGAGAGATCCTCTTATACATCCAATGCAACATGATCTAGGTTTTGAACCTTGTCCATCTCACAGTACCTACTACCACATGTCCAGCTTTGCCACAGCGGGGTAAGAATAAATTCTCAAACTGACAGTTCAACACAATTCTCATTCCACATCCCTAGGTCAAACACTTCCTCTCTGTTTTGGTTGAATCTGAATCTTATTATTGAATGTAAAAAATAAGAAAAGGGCTCCATTTTCTTTACAGAGACCCAGAGGAAATACAGGCTTGTCTTCTACAAAGACAAAAACACAGAGGTCCTTGAACCAAATTCTTGCAATCGGCCAGCAGTTATGGGTCAAACCAGCCGGTTTGAACAGTGACTGCAGCTGCTATCCAAGCTTTTCTGCACTCTTGTGTGCCCTGGATAGGACTGGGGGTTAAACTATGCAAGTGTTCAGAGACTACTTGAAATGCTGTCACAAGTTTTATTCTTCAACCACTGTTTAGTTACTATTCAATTCAAAGAAAAGAGTATCTGGTTGCTGATAGGTTGAGGCAAATCTTCCTCAAGTATACCTGTCAAAGAAACGGAGAAAAATACGCTTTCTTGAAGCCACATGAAATTTAACCAGATATAACAATGTCACATCTAGTAAAGGAGTAAAGGGAATAAGAAAGTATAGAAATTATGAGATAGGCTGATATGGTGAAATAGAACACTTTTGTGTTTTACTGTTGGGTTACTGAAGATTAAAAATTCTTGGAAGTCTGTTGGTGTTTGCTAAACTTTTGAGGATTGAAAATAGATCAGGGAAATATGTCGTCTTGCCAAGTTCCAAATAACATTTTCTCAGTTACCACCTCGAAGCTCATCGAGTTTTGCGATCTCTTCGTTGAGTTTTTTCTGCGCTGAATCCACGCTCTTTTGATCCTTAGCACTATCTTCGTTGCCCGAATTTTGACTCTGTTGTTGCTTGGCAATCGCCTCGTCAAGTTTTTGCTTCGCCAAATCCACCTTCTTCTGTTGTGTAGCGATCGCCTCTTCTTTTTCCTTCGTCAAGTCTTCCTTTTCCGCGGGCCCGTTCTTCTCGTTTTTGGGGTACTTACCCGGAACAGGCACTGCGTCGTGAAGTTTGCCCTTGGGAGGACTATTTTCAACCTGATCAGCCCGTACGCGTAATCAGACACGAGTTCAAAATTAAAAACAGGCGGGAAAGCAAGGAAAGTTAAAGTAAACTGACGTTAACAACTCGGTTAAGGGGGTCTTTAAATAATGCCACGCGAGTTCTTTTCTCCAACAGGCCCGTTTGTTGATCCAAGTTGACAACAGTGCGGCCCAATGCCACCGAGGCTATGAAAAGAACTAGGAGTAGAATTCTCTGGAAAGACATCGTATTATTATATGTGATGATGTGGGAGTTAGATGCAGGAGAGATGCACGACTGAAGTCAAAAATACTGGTTTAAAGAGAGGACTAGGCAGTAGAACAAGCAATAAATACGTGCTGAGAGAACGGCTGACAATGTACTTCTTGAGGATGATTGACCAGAGACACAGTTCCGATACCCTTTTTAAATGCACCCAGTTCAAAGCAAGCAGCGAAGCATTTCTGTCAAGATACGAGCAGGACGTATGTTACTCCCAGCCTCCGAAGAAAGAGGTCGCTGCTGACGATTTTTCGAGGCGGTATATACTGTAGTCACGCTTGTTCTTTGTATCAAGCGAGCCACAATCGCGCTATGAACACGGGAATTGAGGTGTACATATTTGCACTTCGCTCACCAACATGTGTGCCGTTCGTTCTATGTATCTACTGAACGACTTCATGTGGGCGCCGGCACGTTCTATGTACGTAGTTACTTCCTGTATATGCCATTGGGATGGCGCGGTGCCTCATGGATCCGCGTGGATCTGCGTCTGGTATGTAACTGTTCTTCTGCCGGATTGCAAAAGACTTTCACTTGACGAAGTTTAACCGTCGATGATGCTTGACTTTCTTTTGTGTGAGCAGAGCAGTTCAATTTATATCCAACAAACTAATTTGAAATATGTTAGAAAACCAAAGGTTTTTCACTTGTTTGAGGTATTTATCTTCAACATAAGAGACAATATGAATAAATAATTATATGAGAGAAGCTCAACTTTATTGACATCAGCTACAAGTCTCCCATCTGGCCAGCAAAGCCAGCTGTGCTGGATTCCAGCACAACTGGCTTAGACCACCTGACCCGATGATTTCAGGCCCCATCATCACATGTCAATTGACGGGTTTGGATGCCACGGCTTTGATTACTGAGAATTCTCAAGACACACATGTTCAGGAAGGTAAACATGATAACTACAAATATTCGAGGAAATTTCCTTGGTATCAGTAACGATGACTGGTATGGACATCAGCTGAGGACTTTCCGACACGCAGATAACATACGCTATCATAGTATACTGTTCCCACCGTTGAGTAATATTAGAAAGAATCCTGCAGGCATCAATTCCAGTGTAATGTAACATATACACAGAAGAAATTCTGAAGTTAATATAGTGGAAAGGTGGGATCAAGGACAAGACTATACGTCTCCAAGCCCCCAACAAGATCCATAAACTTTTCATTTTTGATTGTATGATCTTGTTCTCGATGAGGAGTAGAGGCGGAGATGACACTGTTCAAGGCATCTGCGGCTAAGAGCGAGTCGTTACCACGCCTACATACCACCAACCAGTCGCACTGATTCTTGAGTGCACTCGTCCTGTCTTCATTCTTCAACGCGTTGTGTGTAACCTTCCTTAACCTTTCAATCGTTGATTCTGGATTTTCTAAGGCTTCGGTTATTGGAATGTCTTCATTGGGGAAAAATGGTGATAAGTGTTGTCAATCCAAGGCAATGAAGGAACAAATGGGAACTGCATGTGCATGTATACCCCCCTCACGAGAGATCAATTTGATCTCTTGAAGGAGTTCAAGATGCGTCCGTCGAAAAAGAGTGAATCTTCTTCGACGGATTCAATGGCAAGGAGAAAAATTGTACTGACTAATGGAGTTCGGGAGTGCGCAAATCTCAAACTGAGTTCTAGGCCGGACATCGAGCAAGCGAAATTGATTAAGCTGGTATTTATTCGACAGAAGATCCTACATTGAGAATGAGAAAATATATCACAGTACTGTCAATGAACATAGACACATAGATTCAGCAAATCCGACGGTCATACATTAGCTGTGATACGCTCGGTAGAAGTCTGAATTACGGGCTGCTGAGAACCCATCGAACACGCGTTCGATAAGGTATCGACTTCTGAACTAGCTTCCCCATGCGATCCCGACGGCTGGACTCGGATGCGTTCCAAAAAAGCAGTCTTACTGGGGGCACTACATCCCAGGCAATCTTTTTTTGCTTTGCGTAGCTTGATGGACCGGAAAGAAGGCACGAGAAGCAATTTGGGTGTGAGGTCTAAAAAAAAGGGGGGGGGGAACTCAAAAGGTGAGTTGAATTCCTAGCCCCCATGGGCGAAATGAATTGGAGATAGAATACAAAGAGAGCTACAAACCATGGATACCAATCAAGAGACGAATAGCTTCCCAGGCCATGAGCACCCCAACGACCCCGACTGCAGGGCCCAAGACGCCTTCATCTGCGCATCGCTCGACCCGAATTTGATCCGTTTCTGGAAATATACAGCGATAACATGGACCGCGATCATGGGAAGAATCAGATGGGGGTGGTAGGTTCCAGACAGCTAATTGCCCCTCGGTTCGGATTGCAGCACCAGACACTAATGGGATTCCGTAGGCGGCGCAAGCGTCCGATATCAAGTAACGACTCGCTGGGTTGTCGGTGCAATCGAGAACAAGCGAGAATTGACTGATGTCCGGTAAGAGATTTGGGGTCGAATCATCAACTTTTTCTTTGCTCGGGTTGGACATTCTTGACATCATAAACGGCATGGGATAGGCGGTGATTTTGACAGATGGATTCCCCCTGAATGAAAGTACATATTAAGGTAAAACCATCAGTTTTTAAGTTCACTTTAGCCTCATATGAATAGATGTTCATTTTTAGGTTGATTGAAGTATCTGTTTTTTTTTCCAACTCAATGGCGTAGTAAACACAGATGGTAATTTGCGGTGGTCGAACTTACGCCAATAGGTTGATTCGTGCGGATTCCGCTTTATTCAAACCAACGGTCGAGTCAGTATGCAAGACTTGACGATGTAGGTTTGAGAGCTCGACGGTGTCATGGTCAACGATAGATACATTTCCTAAACGAATCGTAAAGTGTCGATGAGAAATATCAACATCTGTTTCACGTCAAGGCAGGAGAGGTTTTTTGGAAAAAAAAAACAAAGTTACCAACGCCCGCTCTGACAAGGTAAAGCAATGCAGGACAACCTAATCCTCCGGCGCCGATGACTAGAACCGATGCTTTTTTGAGCTTTAGTTGGCCTGACACATTCAATCCGTGAGGTCTACCGTTAGCAGGCGTCCATCAATTTTGGGGAAGTTTGAAGGACATCATGATCATCATACCTGTTAGTCCAACTTGGGAGACAATCATTTGTCGTCCATAACGGATATAATCATCGAGCGGTAACGAGTCCTGCTTAAGCGAATCGACCTGAATGTACCAGAGCGGATAGAAAATCAGCTGTTCTATTCAACATTTAAATTTTTCACATTTGCTACTTTGCTGAGAGAAAGACTAAGAATTAGTTAAATACTCACTTTTTGAGACTTCAATGCGTGGCTGAGTTCCAGTTGAAGCTGAAGTAGCTTCGCATTTGTCTGTTTGATTTCCTTGGCGATCTCTTCGATCGGTCTTGAGCTTCCTGAGTGGCTGGTGGAGTTCGAACATGATAAGTTTCTCGTGACCGTCATTGCTCGAATCTGAGTTTTTTTTTTTTTTTCTTGATTCGACACCTTTTTGCCAGAGTTCGCTGTGTTTAGTTTTGGCTGGAGGGGTCAAGAAGCTCATGTCACAATACTGTCCCGCATCCAGAGTCAAGCGCGTCCCGCACTGTTGACCCAAAAAGGGGCCAGGCCTTTTTTCGAACCAAATCACCACCACGAGTTGACCATCAGTCCCAGCAGCGCATCAGGAAACCAGGAAGCGCAAGACCTACATATAAAACTCATCCACTCGATGGCTTCACCCACATCCTTACCCCCACCCGCGCCCAGACCAACAGCATGGGAAGCACTACAGGTTCGCCAAGTTTTTTTGTGATTGGTTGAGAACCCAACAAACTGACCACCAGATTTGTAGTCTTTCAACCTCAATGACAGTCTTCAGGATAGATTCGCAAGAGTGCCCTCTCAGAGGAAGGCATTGATGTTTGGCATGGCCGGAGGAACATGCATCGGTGGCCTCCGGTTTATTTCAACGAGACGTAAGATATTTCTCCGAATTGTGATACAATCAGGAAAGCAGAGTTGAAATTTTGGAAAAAAAAAAAAAAACAGGGGGATGGTCATCGGCCAACTGGGGCGTCTACTCGTTCGTATTCTTATCATCGATATCCTACTATCAACTGAGTCAAAAACGACAGACCGAGGTCGAACAGATCCAGCAAGTGGTCACCAAAATGAATCAAGTCAAACCTAGTCCTAAGCTGACAGCCAATCTGGCCTCCGAAGGCGAGAGACTCACTGAAGAAAAATCGGAATCAACTGGCGATCAAAATCTGAATAAAAAGAAGTCTTGGCTATGGTGATTCTAGCTCAATCGATCTGGATTCTGTAATCTACCTTACAAGAAGCATGTATCACAAATATTGTAAACTTGATCAATTCACCAGCATTTCATACATACATCCAAATCACCACGACATCTCGCTCTTGACTCTGTGTTAAAAACCTTCTTGGAATTCAGTTAATTCGCGTTAATTTAGAAACCAATATCCGAACAAATTTATGGAGAGCAAGAAAAGAACGACCTCGATTGAAAACAATAAAAACAGCTCGCCCTTAGTCAAATCATCACTTTTCGACGGAGACTAGAAGAAAAAGAGAAGGAGAATTTTTCTAGAAGAAGGCTACAGGAAGAATTTAATGTTGAAATTGAAATTTCTGTTCAATCAATTTTACCAAATTGTGAAGAACAGTTGAATAATGATCCGAATACCAAGTTGTAAGAACAAATCCTGCTGATCTTTTCAGGATGAGGGGATCTTCCTTAACTTGAGAGAAATACACTATTAATTGTAATTGAACCATCTGAAAGCCTTCACAAACTCCATTTCTTGCATCCTCCCAAGGTGCCAGATCTCCCTTAATTTTGAAAGCTCCAAATAAAGGGGGATATCCTTGGGGCTTTAGTATAATGTTTATCAGCCATTCAAATATCTTTTGGATACTTTGCTCATATTCTTCTTCCTCAATATTGAAGTATTTCCAGGCCTTGAGGTGAATGTGATTGATTGCCTTGAGTAGTTTGTTGAATTTTCTATATATAAAAATCGATTTCAATGGGCGCTTCAAACGATCTTTTCTCAAGATGTGAAAAAATTTATTATCTGAATTAATTGATTCAAAGTACATGCCCATTGATAACCTAGGGTGTACACTCCTATATTTATTTTTAAGATTTACCCTTCTAGATTTAAATTGATCACTGAAATCTTTAAGAAATAATGAGGAAAACTTCTCATAGCCAATCACAAACTTGTGAGCATGAACCAAATTATTAAATATGAATTGGTTTTCAGATAAACTCAATAAAATTTCCATATTTTTTTTGAAATTATTGCAAGGATAAAATTCAGTGAATTCTTTCATTTGATCATTGGAGGCTGGTGAATCAACCATCAAGTGGTCCTTTCTCCATAGTGAACATGAATCTAACCCATCCATAGGTACTTTGGTTTGAAATTATTCAATGACATGATTTAATGAACTTTACCAATCTTGTTTTGTTTAATTGATATCAAGGAAAATGAAACTCACGTGAATTCTCAGCTTTGAAGGCTTCCAACAGGTAGGCAGCAGTGTCAAATACAGTACTGCTTTTATCAGTTTGGGAAAAGTAAAAAATCAATTTGATCTGAGTGTCGCGGAATTGATGATCTTTGTTCCATTCCAATTTTTCCAAGCGTTTGGTGCCAATTATTGGAAAATTTTGATCATCAGATCCACATATTTCAAAGTCTAACCAGTTCAACAGTCTTTCTTGCAAAACCCTATACATGAATGTTGGGATCTTGAAATTATTCAGCCATTCTTCATGGAGGAAATAGATCCATTTGATTAAGACATAGTAGTGTGGGCACAACATTTGAGTGGCATCCATAGGCCTGTCTGTGGAGTCGTTGAACACTCGGATGACCGCAGGAGTCTCTTTTCCTGGATATATTCCAATCGGTAGATATGGGTGAGGGACAATACGTTGACGGGCAGCGTTACCCTGTTTGATGTAAATTTCTGAATGGGCTCTTATATAAAAAATATCATAATGGTGCTTGAGCAGGAATATTGTGTTGTATCCCACGATGAAAGAATTTTCAAGAATCTCTCCATCTACCTGATCATTCGGACTCGAACATTCAGCAGTTGATCTCTTCTTTGATTCTCTCAAAGGCGACCTGTTGATAACTTCATTCACTGGCTCGCTCAAGGGCACTTCATTGCTTCGAATAGCGCCATCTGTTGAGACTCGTATCAAGTTTAATTAAACGAGACTTAGTTCTGAGGAAACTGTGCCCTCTTACCTTGATGAATCATAGTCCTTTGAATGCTTTGGACTATTCTATTGGTCAAATCCACATCGATATCAGGCCTTTGAGCCAACCTGGAGTGGTCCTTCTCGATTTCGTCATGGACTTCAGACCGGTGTTAGTCAGCCTGAAGTGAAACAACAGTTTGTGTATTTGGATAGGAAACCGAAAAACAGCTCACCTGGAGTGGAGGTATTAGGATCCTGAATAAGAGTATCAAATGGATTGGAAGAGGTACCTACACCACATTCAAAAGGCTTGCCTTGGACCTGATTGGCTTGGGTCGAATCCTTTTCCCAATTAAGTAAAATACTTTCCAAAGGAGGGGATGGTGGGACCGGAGAAATGTGATTGACTTCGAAATCCTTCGATGTTAAGTGTGCCGAAGGATGAGATTGATGATCTGATTCTGTGAGGGAATTTTCCAATTCCGCTGGAGGAATTCTGGGGGTTGGCCACACACTCAAAGCGGTGTTGAACTGCTCTCCCATGAAGTTTATCTTTGGGGTTGGCATGTCTTCCCACTCAGACAAGTGTAGGTCGGCCGAGTTAAAATGGGAAACTATTCCAAATAAGCAGAACATCAGATGTCTATAGACCATCATGGCGCCCTTCGAAGATGTCAGAAAGGAGCCCCTCGAAGAAACCGATACTAGCCGGGGGATTTCACCAATTTTCGCAGTTAACGTCAGACTCCTTAGAAGTTTGCTTACAAGGTCCTTTTGTGAAGGCGTTATCATGTTATCAGAGGTCAGGGCGGTCAGACCTGATGCTTGGCAAGCTGCTTCTGGACCTAGGTCTGGAGATCATGATGCCTAGAGTCTATAGCGACTACGCCGTTGCTCTTCGATCTACAAAATTGTTTGTCTAAACGCTTGAATCAACTAATTGCAAACGTTTCAGAAAGATCATCCGAATATCTGTATCGAGTGTCAACAGGAAGCAGGAACCTAATTATTACGGCGCAGTCTTGAAGAACTCCAAACTAAAAAACTGCATCCCTCAACCTTGATAAGGATGATCAAAAGCAATTGTTTCATTGGGCTTGTAAAACAAAAACTCTATTTGAGGACAGAGACATCTATAATGATAAAGGACAATTTTGTGCACACATCAAATTGGGATTCTCAATGTCGAATCGGGTTTCTGAGGTTCATGGAAAAAATAAATAAATAAATAAATAAAAAGACCGTTTTGAGTTTGTGAGACTATCTCAATCCTATCACATTTGCCATTGACACAAGTCCCTGCTGACTTCAGGGGAGTTTTTACTCACAAAGCCAGCCCAAACCAGGGTGGAATTTCATCTGATCTCCCTGAATTGTTACGGCAAGAATCCAAAGAATTCTTAAAATTTCTTAATAACTTGCACTGATGTCTTTATATAAGCAAATTTACTTAGATTGTATCAAATCATCTTCCTTTCCAACACACAGAGTCTGGCGTGGCTTATGAAAATCCTATCAGTCACAAAAAGAACAACAGCAAATAATTCCAAACCTCTGGATCCCCAATCAGTTGCTAGCTCAATTGCACTCAGTAGTGGGCTGCTATTCTACACTACACCTTTTATAAAAAAAGCATCAGAGTAGTGGCACTCACTGCAGTGTTAGCTGCTTTCTTCTATAAGCTGCTAAAGTTTCAAAATGTCACTAACCTGCATGATCATGGACACCTCTTTGCAGATTCAGCCATCAATTTTAGCATCATGTCATTAAGATTTAACAGAAAAACATGTATTGTTAGTGGTATTACACTAGCACTAGATTTAGTGTGGCTGGCCTATCATTTGTGAGACTAAGAAGAAGGAATTCAACCGGGATGACTTGCTTTCAGGATTGTTTCCCACAACTAAATTGATGGAAGCTGGTAGTAACTGTCCTTTGAAATGAGACAAGTGTTGAAAAATAACTATGGTTGAATATGTTCTGGGTTATTTATGCTCTAACTTCAACTAAGTGGAAGAAAGGGTGCTTGATCTCAAGGGAGGCAGGGTATCTGAAACTCAACGGTTTTGAAAGCTTCATGAGACATGCTAATTCTGGGGCTTAGTTAAACAACTCCCAACAAGTGGAGTTCAAACTCCTAAAAACTGGGAGACATTGTTGACAAGACCCCAACAAGGCATCTGCTGCTGGTCAGCAGGACCAGCGGTGCAACAGATACAAGACATGACTGGTATCAGTATTTCCTTGGTTGGTGAGAAAATCAATTGTCTTGGATTTGGACTTACAAATGAAAAAAAAAATTGTCTTTGTTTTTTTTTCTTCAATACAGCCAAATATCTTGTGTGTCAAAGATGTTTTTGGTGGGATCAGTCATCTGAGACAATACAGAATACTTGTCTCACTTTCCAAAGATGATACATGTGTATTGTCTCATGAAAGTGAGACAACACAAATACAGTATTTTTGGGTATTCAAATTCTGAGACAATACAAATAAATGACTGATGCTGTCTTGTCTTGTCTCTGTTGCACTGTTGGCAGGGCCCAGCTTTGGGTCTGGGCCATTTTGAGAGTTGACTCTCCAAAACCCAATGGGGGTTTGGGAGTTGCCCCTGTTGATGGATTTTTTCTTTATTGGATCAATGACTGGAGCTTATTTCAATTTTAGCTTGAACTTGTGTACATCTATTCATGCATGTGAAAATAAAAGGCTTACATGTTAATATTGATACAATCATTTTTCCTCAGTTTAGTGTGACCATTAATAAAGTAACAAAAGCAGTGCACAATTGGAATTTTGAACCCCACAATTATGAAGTGCAAACCACAGCTTTGAATTATGGATTGAAATTGATGAAAGCTGTATACATCACATTCTGAATACTTCAATTTCAATCGTTTGTTTTTCTTCATTACCTTGGTACTAAAGCTCCTTCAAATGATACCAACACATAGGCTGCCAATCAAATATTTTCTTTGATCAGATTATGAACTAGTCATGTTGAAAACCTTGGAAGCAAATCAGTTATTCATCCCACACTCTGGCAGGAAAGGATGCATATTTTAAGGTACCACTTCTACATCATGTCTGTTTTCTTTTTTTGCAAATGGGACTTACAAATGATAAACTATATTTCATCTCTTACAAAATATCTATTTAGATGTAATTTTGAATAATTGCCAGATCCTTGGGATGCTGCTAATGCAATAGTGGTGTCCCATAACATCAGAGACTGGCTAGTGGGCACCTTGTATGTACTCTTAGCATAGCTTTAGTGTTGTGAGGGTAGGTCCCCTGGTTTTTGGACACATGCTCTGTTTTGGGTGCTGCTCTGAGTTCAGCCAACAACACTTGTAACTTGTAAGGCATCTCCTTTTATGTTGGGGTTTCTTGTGGTTTTGGTGATGATTGTTCCTTGATGTCCAGTCGATGCAGTGATGGTTGATTCTCGAATAATCATGTAAGATCATGATGTGATCCGGATCGACCGGATCGGTTGTGTCATCCTGCGTGTGCTCTGAATTTCCCGATCCGGGGTGCCCACTCAAGCAGGTAGCACTGGCTCACTGCCCACTCCAGTCCGAACAACCAACTACCATCAACAACCAAAACACCCACCATGTCAGACAACCAACAAACAACTTCATCCCGATGGTTCTGTCATGTGAATATTCAAATCAACTATCGAATGTATCCTATATGCTGACCTGGCTTACCGTTCTGTGTTACTAGGCTTGCGAAGCTTATTTCCGTCAACCGGTCGACCCTCAAGACCCTCAGTGCTTAAACTGTCACTCGAGCTTCGTAGAAGAGCTATCCTCCTCCTCATCTAACTCTGACCCACAACCCAACCACTGGTCGCATTCTCATCACCATTTCATCGATTCCTTCCAAGATGACGATAGTCCCCCGATCCCGAGTACCAGACAACGATACGAACAACAGCAGAACACTCGTCATCAACAACAGCAGCAACAAGCCAACCGACAGCCACTCCATCAGGCTCCTTTTATCAACCTCATCGACCCCCTCATCAACATCCTCTCTGCTCCCTCGATCCCCGATCCAGCCGATCATGACCAGCCTCCCTCCTCCTCTCGTCGTAAGTTTATCCTGCCCAAAAAAGCCTTTCTCCAAATATGAAAGAGGAGTCAATCAACCCGAATGACCAGCTAGCTAACTTCTGCTTTTTTTCTGTGACCCGATTCATGTAGCTACTCCTCCACATCGATCAGGGCCTAACCCATTCAGTAGTATAGGCGACTTCCTTGCTCAGCATTACTCACCTCAAACCTTTGGAAGCCCCAATCATTTCTCCAACCGATCAGCCCAGGCTGACGTGGATACCAGCAATAATAACACCGCCACCAGCAACAACCAACACAGTCCGAATCCTTCCACTAGTCCTCGTCAAGCTGCTCAGGGTATTTATACCTTCACCTTTGGCTCCCGGCCTTCAGACCCAAACCTCAGTAATCCTAATGAGGCACATGATCATTCCGCTGATCAAAGTCCTTCAACAGAACCAGCAAGACCATCAGCTGGTGAACGAGCCCCAACCCAGGATGGCTTCACCTTCGCCACCACCGCTAACCCACCCCAACAACCTCTCAATGGACTCTTATCGTAAGTGGATCTTGAAAGCTAAACCTGGTTTATCCCTTTCCAACGCATTGAATCCGATCTTCTCTGAAATTTATCTAGTTTACTTCAGTCTGCCTTTGGCCTGACTCCCTCAGATAGCGCAGCCCCCGAAAACGAGCGTCGAACGGCAGAGAGCAATCATGCTGGAGACAGCCCAGCAGCCGAAAGAGCTACTTCAAACAGCCAGCCCCCATCACCATCATCCTCATCCTCACCACCTTCATCTGGATCACCAGAAACTCGAGCGGGCAATTCTGACGAAGATCGACCTGGAGACGCTGGAAATCGAACTCATCCCCGTCCCACTCCGAGGTCACCTCGGGTGAACCTTGAGGAATCCCACCCCTTACGCCAATTCATCAACATTCTCAACTCGCTCAACCAGACCGATAGCTCGATGGGTCGGAACGGCGGCATGAATGGGTTTGTCTTCAACGGGCCCACCGGAGGCTTCGGCTTTACTACCCAGCTCGACATGGATCATAATGGCCCCTTCGGCCAGAACTTGGGCGATTATGTAGCCAGTGACTCGGCCATGCAGGATATCTTGAATCAGTTGATCAATATGACGGGCGCTAATGGCGGCCATAATCCTATCCCCGCTTCTGACTCTACTATCAAATCATTGAGGAAATTTAAATTCGATGCTTCTTGTGCCGGTTAGTACAAACTTATCCTTCCTCATCGTGTCTTTGAAATTTGTTTGAACAAGCTTGTGTTGAATTCTCTCCCTAGGGCAAGAAGATTCTATTGAATGTGCAATCTGTAAAGATACCTTTACGGTCGGTGATTCATGTATGGAATTGCCCTGTAAACATTTCTTCCACGATGAAGATTGCATCGTCTTATGGTTGAAGCAGAATGGCTCGTGCCCGGTATGGTAAGTCTACCACTAGCTTTCTCTCTGTTTTAGGAAAGAGCGTGGTAATACATAAACCAAGAAAGAAAATTTTTATCCCTTGATATTCAGAGTACTGATGATGATTGAACGTTTGATCCTGCATACACAGTCGATACTCACTTGTCAATACCAACGATAGCAGCGAGGATAATGCGGAAGATGGAGACGGAGCAGAAGGGGAAAGAGGTGGAGGTGGAGGGGATCGGAACGCTCCAGAAGCTTCGACGGCGGCCGACGACTCTCAGTATCGCCCCGATCCTGCTGATTGGCTCGACCCCGACGGTTGGTATGACGAGGAAAATTACGAACCTCCGTTCGATTATGATTGATCCCCTTCTCCTCTTCCCCTGTTCTCTCACTGAAATTCAATCCCTTCTTCTTCTTCTTCTTTTCCTTCTTCTCGGTCAATCTTCTATACATGAATAAAATAAAATAAAAACATCAATAACAAAAAAACAGATTCTTTTGACTGGATTCTTCATAGCACTTATCCGAACTTTTCACAGCATTTTCTGTTCACTGTTTTCACACCCTGCAACTCTTTTTTGGCTCATTCCGTTGTCATGTTACATTACATATACAGATATTATTGAAGGAGCAGGCGATCATAACAACACATGTACTCACACACACACACACTCACACACAAATATTACTTGATGTCCACAGCTATCAAACCGTAGCCATTGAAATTAAATCCCATTTAACACCAGTCACAAGAATGTTAAGAATAACCTTGTAGATTGTACATGAATATATATGAAGATGTGTGCCCAAGAAATTCATTGTGCTTGTCCCTCTTACTTGGGTTCTTCCCTTCTTTTCTTTCCTCTGCTCTTTAATTGATTGGGTCTGAGTTGAGCTTTTTTTTGCATTGATTTCCTCTTCTTGCTTGGCTTATCTACATAGTCTTCCTCAATCATCCTTCCTCTCTTTCCCCGCTTCCTGTTCTTCTCTCTCACCATTCTTCAAATTGATTTGGATGCTTACATGAATCCTAATAATACACTCAAATACTCTTGATGCTGTTCATCATTACATGTGTTGCGGTTCATGTTCATGTACAGTAGAACTTGTCCTAACCCATACCCATTGGTGGATTAACTTTTCTATGGGTTATGACAGGTTATGGGTAATGCCAGTTGCCCCTCATAACCCATACACTAACCCATACCTTTGAAGACCCATAAAATGTATTGTTTTGTACAGGTATCTGCAAAGCAACCTTTGAAGACCCATAAAATGTATGGTTTTGGACAGGTATCTGCAAAAGAGGTGTTGTTGTGACCCACGGTCCCAGTGGTACCACTGGGAAATGTATGGGTTTGAGCAGGAAAATTCTGGTTTGGGAGACCAAAGTCCTATGGATTACAGGGGAGGGCAGGTTTATGGGTTAAGACCCCTTTTTTGGCTGGCCCCAAATTGGGAGCCCCAAGTCTCTATGGGTTTGGAGGGGTTATGGGTCTTGACGAGTATGGGTTAGGACGAGTTCTAGTGTAGCTGCTGTTTTGGCTGGCACATTGTTGCTAAATGACTGTTTTTTTGCACAGTCACTGGATGACTTCCTGTTGTCCAACTATGACAATTGAGAAGGGCATCCTACACATTATTTGCTGGCAAGAATGGATTGAGAGACCACTAGGTTCCCAGAAGTTGTGTAGGTTGAAATAGATGTTGAACACAAGGCTTGGGTAACAGCACACATCTCCTCAAAGTGTACTGAGCTCAAATCCACGCAATCCGTACCAGTTTTGCCCCTTTCTTGGTGGTAGGTATTTACTTTTTTTTCCCCTGTTTGGGGCACACTGACTATGTCTTCTTTTTGGATTGATTTGCACCCAAATATACAAGGCCTTGTTTGGAAGAGTCATAAGTTTAGGCGTAATATTACCTGATTAATTCAATATAAAATTAAACAGATTGGAAATGTGTAAAAAGATTGTTACTTAGGCAAGTCCAACTACTGGGTTCACCAATGTTGAGACCAAAAAAAGAATTGATATCTTAGGCCATCTTCAACCCCATAGTGTCAATACTACACTTGATATGGGTAAAATGAGTAATATTAGTATAATGGTGCTCATTCTTGCTCAACTTGAAATCAGTAGTTGACCTTGCCTGAGTAACAATCTTGCTACATATTTTCCATTTGTATTGAATTAACCAGGTAATATTACCCTTAAGATTTGTGACGCTGCCAAACAGGGCCCAAAAGTGGCTCTGGAAATCTGAATAACTCAGGGTTGAAAACTAAGTGGATTCCATCCAGATGGGATCGGAGGCTGGATGTGTGGGGTCAATAGTTGTGAGATGCATTCGATTGGTTTTGTGAATCACATGAGCTTTTTGGACGAAATGATTTCGCTCATTATTCCCCTATGAAAATGTGGTGTTTGATGAACCTCTTCCGTCAACCATCTCCGGACAACACGGCGTGCAGCTCAAAGGCTACCAATCTGACACCATTGCCTGGCTCAAGATTGATCGGTCACAAAACTGAGAAATACACATCACCAAAAACAAGAAATCTCAGTCCAGGGTGTGAACTGAGTCAAATTAACTCAAAAAGCCAATCAGGCTTTGGTTGCCCAATCAACAAGCATGAGGGCACTCACTCAGCGCTCTTTTCACTGAATGAAGTAATCCTACTCAGGATTACTCACTCAGGCACGGGTAGAAGCTATACTCAAGTAGGGTGTAACTCACCAGATATTTACTTAGGTTGTAGCAGCTCAGGTTTCTCGGTGGTAAGATTCAAATCCGGCGGCATAATTCAAATCAGTGTGTGCAATACCGGCTGTTTTGTGCACATCTCTCTAGATTCTAGTGTTTGTCTAATCAACAAGCGCAAGGGCGCTCATGTAGCATTGTGTTACAGTACTCAGGCTGAAGACTCATCTCTCAGCCAAAGGCAAAAACTGCTCTCATCAGGGCTCGTGACTGAGAGAGGAGCATGCCCGCTCTGGCTGGTCCTCGTGTATAAATAAGACTCGATCCAGCCTCGAAATTGTTGGTCCCCATCCAAGCCACTCACTTCCCTTGACATCAATCCAAACAGCCAAAGGCCTACTCATCTCAAACTTCCTAAAAAACCCCCACTCCACTCCCCCTTATCAAGCACCGACAAATTAGTTGAAATGGGCGATGTAAGAAAATGCTCCTGGCTCAAATAACATATCTTTCTACCTCTCCAATTCTCACTCAAACACATTTGTCAACTTTTGTAGATCATCGACTTGGATTTGTTTGCTGAGCTTGTCAGGCTCGATCAACAACAGCCCTTCCTGGACGAGCAGATATCAAACTATTTTTACCCATCGTCGAAGTGTATATGGGCTATGATGGATGAGTTGTAAGTTTTGGCCGCGGTTTTCATTTGTCATTGATTTCAATTTCCAATTATCCTTGCGGTACTAAGTACTAACTAAACTGCCTACCCTTCCCCAAATCCGGATCGAAAGACGCAGCGGCGATTATCGCAAGCTGGAACAAGAAGCAATCGAGCTCCGAATATTGGTAGGAAAACTTTCAACAATTATGGTACATGCAAGAAAAACAGTTTGATTGACTGGTTGCATTTTTTTTAAATCTATAACCAGGCGTCCTCATTGGCAGTTGTGCGTGTGGCACAACTGTGCACTTTCGTTGAAAACAAGTGCAGATCAGGCCTCGTCGATAGGGACCGACTTGAGATAGACACGAGGTTGCAAGTCATGGAACTGGCAAACCAGTTCGCCCAAGATTGGCTGGTCAAGGAATTATATGCTCGAAGGGAAAGGCGTCGCTGAGCGCGATGGAAATCGATTCCTTTACATCTCTATCCGATTCTCATCTGTTGTTTTCAAAATTCTCATGTTCAGCCTTTCACCCTTTCATGAATTTTATATTTGTTTGATCTTCAATACCAAGATGCAAAGATAATGATCTCCATACGTATATTGAAACACATATACCGATCTTCTTCACGATCGTAGCTATATAAGATGACAAGTTGAAAAAATAGTCTTCCGAAAGGAAGAGCGTCACTGAGACTTTGACAATACGTGATAATCAGTAAGACGAAAACGGCAAAAGATGCTGTTTCTAAAGCAGTCACCATCCAGACTCTTTTCAGCATCCATTTTTAAATATATATATAAAAGCCGTCATGGAGTCTTGCATGTTAAGAGGTGCGATGAACTTCCGCCCCATGTTGCGCCGTGAGGTAAGGATGAGGCCTAGATTTATGACGAAGAGCTTGACGCGTCAATTTCTTCCTCGAAACGTGAAGATTGGACTGCTTTGACGTAGAGTCAAATCAGGTGTTCTGTTTTGGATTCATGAATGCCAGTCCTGAAAAACATTTTGACGGTGACCCATGAGTGATTGCAATATTTCAGGATGTATCCCATTCAACGATTGCTCGCAGACTACAACGCATCGGAATGGCTGTTGATCGATAGTGATCCGGCGAGGATTACCGGCACTTGATAGACGACGGAGAGTCGGGAGCAGCCGTCGTGGTGATACTGATAGGGGAAGCAGTCAAGCAGCACATAAATACCAATGACCATGCTGTAAGATGAATGAGAACCTGGGGTTGGAGACTGGAGTGACAGAGTCTGAGCGACGAGCGTACCTATCCGATGAGGAGCTTTCGGGGACCAGAAGGGCCACCCACCGTGCTGAGTTGTTCTAGCTCCGCGTTTCTTCCCAGATGTTCTTCCCAAAGGAAGAAATATCCACAATGAACCGGTATGTAAGGCCCACCAAGCGTATTCATTTAATTTATTTATTTATTTTGTACCTAAGCATTTCTATGTACCTATTTCTTTTGACTAACGCTATTAAATATTAATATGATTGACTAACACCATGATTACATAGTAAAATAGTAAAAAAGCATCAGCCCCAACCCAATCCTCCAAATACCCAGCAACTTCAATCATCTCTTCCATTTAACCACACAATCATGCACTCCAGGGAATCCTCTCAAGTCCAGCCACCACAATCCAGGGAACATTCCCAAGGCCACCTGTCAACAGTCACAGCAATCCCAACAAAATTGGGAATCAAACGGTTCTGATAGCCAATCTGTAAATCAAACCAAAAAAATCTTGCTTTGAAGTTTGTGCCAGGTCAGTATCACCATCATCAAATTAAAAAAAGAGGAGGAAAGCTTAAATGGGCCCCTCAGTGAGAGTGCCATGTGAGCAGGTACAAACGGCAGCCCAGTCTCACAGAGATGCTTATACCTTATAACACCAAGTTGGCCTGAGCAAGTCAAGATTTTGAGGCTGTTTTCAATACTTTCTCCTTTGGATTATACATCTCTCTTTGAAAATTCCGGTGTACACTTTTGAGTTTTTGGTGTTCTCTGCCATCTTGCTGATTTTTTCTGCCATTTTACTTATTTGTATCTCATACCAATATTTTTTGAGAAAAAAAAAGAAAAAGGGAAATATTCATTTGGAAGGCAAACAATATATTGCTTATGCAGGTAAGTGTGCTCAAGTCTATCAATCAAAGTTCAAATCATGAACTTGATTGTAATTTTTTTACCACAATCAAACAACTTTTTGCATTGAAAAAAAAGAAAAATCAGGATTATGTAAAATTGGGGATCTTTGATCTACTAGAAAGACAAAAAAATCACAGAAATGAAGCTGGGGTTGTGCAAACAAGGTGGCTATCACCAAAAGTGCAAATCCTGCTCATACAAGAAAATCATCTCAGCATGCAAGTTACACCAGCAAGCCTCCCATTGGTGGAACTTGTGCAAGTTTGAGGAGGAGAGCAGTGGAAGTCAACAATCTTACTGAGCCATCATCACTATCCAGAAGGATATGGTCAATACAATTGAGACCTACATCTAATTTAGATCTGGATACTCCTACCCCTAAGCATTGTCTGTTGTCTCCCCCAGAAAGCCCTAATTGATTTGGTACATGGTGCATCAATTGTCTTCAATTCTCCTTCTCCCTCTCTCCCTCTCATCTAATTGTTTATTTCAGGGGGAAGGTAAATGTGAATCCATTAGTGAATCCAAAGGTTACGATTTTAAGTTGGACCAAATCTTCAATTCCTACATACTTGAGCACTGGAAACCTTTATTGATCTAGCATCCACTCTGTTGTCAAGAGCTGTGTTAAGGATGGCTTTAATGCAGCTGTCTTTGTTTTTGGTCAAAATGGAAATGGTAAAATTTTGACCATGCTTGGCTTGAACATGAAATACTGGGGATGATTTGGCCAAGGGCCATAGCAATGATTTCATGGCCGATGTCAGCTGGTTTGCTCCTCAACTAGCTCAACACTAGTTACTTGGTTTCAGAGTGAGGCAGGTGGGTTAAGCCACAAACCAAAATAAGTCCCAATGGTGTGCAGAAGATTCAAGAAGAATGGCAATTACAATCCCTTTGTTTGTTGAGTCCCTTCCACACATGCGATATTGGAAATGAAGCAATGGATGTGCAGCTAAGAAGCAGAGCCAACTTGTAACTATTTCATGCATATTGTTCCTGTGCCCTCCTACCTTGGTTTTAAAATGGGGTTTAGAAGTACTTCAGGCAAATTTGCCCTATTATCATTAGACACGGCAGGCTTGACAATGATGCTTGCTTCTTCACTTGCCTCTCCGCTTAGAGGGGGTTGGGGGATAGGCTTATCAGATGAGAAGTGGGTCAGTGATAGGCAAGATGCAGGGCTACAAGCTGGTCCAAGCCAGTTTGTCGTATCTTTCCTGAATGAGGAGTAGTTATTGGCATCTGTTCTTTTGGGTTCACCACTGAGATTTCCAACCGCGACGCGACGGTCAACTGGATTATGTAAGCCACGAGGAAAATATTTCCATTCGCAGACTGAGCTTCACAGCAAAAACATCCCATCATCAACCAACAACTGACTCAAGACGAGCAAGACCAGCAAGCATCCCTACCGCCCTCATCATGCCAACCAAATCAAACAAGAACTCGCTTCAGTACCAACTCTCCTTGGTCTCAGCACCCGAAGATTTTCCGCCCGAACTCAGTACACTCAGTACCCTTGACTCTACTCTTAGGTGTCCTGTCAGTAGTCGTTTTCTTTTTTCTTTTTCTTTTTGATATCACTTAATGCCGATTCCTAACTTATTTGTCTCCAATTCTTACAGGTCTGTAAAGATTTCTATCAAGCACCGGTCATAATCCATATCCAAAAATGCTGCCACACGTTCTGTTCAGCCTGCATCCGGACGTGTTTTAACAACAACTCAAATAACCATAAGATTGGCGCGACTGGATTGGGCGGCGTAGGAAACAGCCAGCGGTGTCCGATTTGTAAAGTGGAAGCACAAGAGGAGAAAATCAAACCGGTCCCGACTCTCGAATCTGCGGTAATCAGTTGGCAGAATGCCAGGGAAGAAATCTTCAGGATCATCGAACGTAGCCAATCTCTCGAATCTCAATTGAATGAACTGCGATCACTCTCTTCTTCTAACTCAAAACCAATCATGGAGGAGGCGACTTCCAAACAGAAAAAAACCGCCCATACGTCCTCTCAACAACAATCTGGGAAAACCACCAGTCATCCTGAGCCAAAAACCAGGGCCCAAAAGGCCAAGCTATCTGCCAAGCGCAAGTCTCAAGATCGACCCACACAGGCAGACGACTCTGATGATGGCATCGAAGTCTTAGATCACAATCCTACCGATCGTAAGCATCTTTGTACATCCTACGCGGCGTCCTGGAAGAGGGAGCCATTATCCAGATAAAATCTAATCCTATTATAATCCCCAGCCTCGGCTCCAGTTAGATGTCCAATCTGCTCTACTCAGATGCTCAATGCGAAAATGGATTCACATCTCACATCCTGTCTCAACGAAAAGAATAGAAACCGCTCGCAGTCATCATCGGTACCAGCCAAGAAACTCAAGACCTCTCATCAACGAGGTACCCAGCCAGTTCAAAAAAGAATCCCACTCCCACACTTTGCGAGTATGAAAACTAAAGACATTAAAACGGAATTATCGAAGCATGACTTGAGATCGGATGGAACAAGCAGTATTCAGATGAGAAGACTGAGTAGATATATCACCTTGTTCAATGCTAACTTGGATGCTAATCCTTTGCACCAAAAGTCACTAGAATCCTTAAGGAAAGCATTGTACGAGTGGGAAAGTTTGCAAGACTCTGAGAACTTGAATTTAGACAAAAACCGACAGAAAATCTTCAGTAATCAGACTAATTATCTGAAATCCAATCATTCTCAATTTGCTCAGTTGATCGATCAAGCTTCTAAATCTTTAAAACCTCCGCCAAAGCCCGTCGACTCTCTGCCCTCTGATCCTTCTACATCCTCTCTAGCAGAGGCACACCCTCCTGAAACCGATTCCAGACCTAGTAAAGTCGTAGAATCCAACTCAAATGGGAATCACGGTGAACTTGACAATAATCATGAAAGCCCTATTCAAAAACACGTCGCACTCGAATCCCCAGATCTTGCTCCTCATCTCGAATCGGCCCTTCAAGAGAACCATCGTCCTAGAATCGATTCGGACACCAACCCAGAAGACCGTCAAGATCCAAATGACACCGAATACTCTACCCAGAAGGCAGTTGATAATCCAGAGGATGATCATAATCCTAAGCTCAAGTCGAACGCCAACCTAGAAGATCGTCCAGATCCAAATCAATCGGAACCAGAAGATAATCATCATCCTGAAAACGAGTCAAAAACAAGTCCAATTCCCCCCTGTAACTCAAATATTCATCCCCAGGAAGGTAGCTCGAGCACCAATAATCTTCAACAATCTAGCCTAAAACCTGGCGATCAGCTATCCTTTGCTCGTTCCCCTCCTCTGCCTCATCCGGAATCAACTGCTGAAGATCACAAGCTTCCTGAAAACTGATTCTAGTCCCCCCCCCCTTCCATTGAACTCGTACATGTGTATAACCCTGGTTCTAATTACCTAGACATTTAGTCACAACCCAAATAATTGTGGATCTGATTTTAGTACTATTCCCTTTTTTCTACTTTTTTTAGGATTGTGTTGAATGGATGATTATACTTCAACTGCTGTACATCTGTTCATTTTTTCACTTTCTTGGCATTTTTGGTTTTGGTTTATAATTGGATCAGTAAGTACATATGTTGTCATTCAATTTGATCAAGATTACCGCAGACATAAATTATAGCCCCCTTGGAAAAATCACATGGAAGTCTTGGACTCTGTTGTGATCAACCAAGACCTGTAGTTGAACTGGGGTTGAGTTCACGCTAAACTGGCTGTTGTCAATGTATAACGTGGCAAAATTCCAACAGCATGCCAGGAAATTGGCCTTACATTCAAGGCAAAAATTTCTGCCTCCAGCTTTTCAAATAAATTAGCCCATGAAAGCATCATACATGGCATCCTTGCAATGCTTTAGATCCTGAGTTCAACAATTTACATGTGCCTTATTAATGGTCCAGTATTGGGACCATTATTAAAAACTGGTACTTCCCCTCAAACCATATCATGACATGATTCCATTTTCTGGCAAAAAAAAACCACCTCAATTTTTCGCAGGTAAGATCACATGGGACTGACTGGATTTCCAGCTATGCAGATGGCATGATTCAGGACATCCTAAACATTATTTGCTGGCGAAAACTTGCTCTCAATTAATTATCACCATAAATAATGTTGAGGACTTCCTTCTCAACAAGTAAATTCAGCCCGCAGGATGTGTTCCACTGGAGGGCCTGATGGATTGTGTGTCACTCCAATCTTGAAATCAACAATCCGCCTCAGATTTTTGAGACAGAGAAGCAAGACTTTATATGGGAGTGTCTGGTGGATCAGCATTTCAATCTTGCCTTGATCAAGGTTCACCAACCTATGGCCTTTATCTTACGAGGACGATCAACTCCAACTCCGACAGCAATAAGCCTATATGTAAAGCTGAAGGTCCGAAGCAAATCGAAAGGAACACGCGCCTTAACACACCGGGCCTTCACCAGCCGCTGCCGTGCCGCTGCTGAGCCAACCCCGGGTGTGTCAATCGAGGTCAATCGGCTTGCATCAGTGTATATATTCACAGAAGTGTCAAACTTTTGTGGAAAACTGGATACAGTCGGATGCAGTGTTTGTGACTTTTACAATGTCATGACATCAAGATGCACTTTTCTGAGGCTTTCTCCCACCTGCCTGCGTGTTGCAAACCGGATTGCGTGAGACTTCCTGTTCCCGTACTAAACAATTTATCAAAAGACTTTGGCAACTTGAGGCATTTCGGGTGACACATGCCAAATGACAGAGAAAATCGCCATGCCTCAAGTGATATAAAAACAACTTTGAAGAAAGCTTCGTCGTCCGTTCCCTTTCCACTAATACCCAAAAGACCAAAAAACTGCCTCTTACGCGCACTTGACCTTGTGCTGTATTGCCTCGAAGTCATGGCGGCTCTTTCTTCTGGATTCGCCACTCTAACATTCGTTTTACTGTTACTTTCTAATTGCCTGTTGCAAATAAGCGCCTGGAAAACACCCCACGACAAGACCCACTGGGATGCCACCCAAAACGAGCGTACAAAAGGACACGTGAAGCTCAAATATGCGAAGACGGGATACGCAAGCTACTCTGCTAGTAGTAGTACTAACTCCCAGTCGATGGTCGTATCTCGTCCTCCGGGTCCCAGCCTGAACCTCGGTTTTCCTCAACCACGTCCGGGCAATGTCAATAATTTTCCAGTACCCCACCTTCCAGCATCACAGGATGGTGCAGGAGTACCCCCAATGGCCAAAACGTATGTCCACCCTGAATGCCCATTTGCAACTGCTCCTGCCAGCCTAATGATCTTCGATAATTAGCTTTGTAGATGAGCACAACAAAGTCAGAGATGTTTATGGAGTACCCCCGCTCACATGGAACTCACAACTGATTCCATCGGCTCAACGACTCGCTGCTGCTTGCGCCTTCAGACATACGGACAATAACCCTTACGGAGAGGTGATTTACCATTCAGTTTTTTTGGACCAGTTTGGTCTGTGATTACTCAAGTGCTCGAAGTGGTTTATTTGTCTTCAAATCTGTTTCCGGCTATTTCGTTTGTAGAACATCGCTGCCGGCCAAAGCTCACCGGAAGAAGTTGTGTCTCAGTGGGTTGAAGGACCGCAAGAAAAACTCGCATATAACCCCAATAATCCACAAGATTCACATTTCACTCGTGAGGCCTGCACCGTAGTCTTCTTGCTTGTTTAATTCCCAGTATGAGTTAATTGACATTTTAAACATTTTATGATTGTCCCAGAGGTCGTGTGGGAGGAAACTCGGGAGCTAGGTTGCGCAGTTACGAGTTGTCCAAGGATGGTTGGAGTTTCATTGCCTCAATCTCCGATTCAATTTTGGGTATGCGAGTACCACCCGTAAGTCTGTTTCTTCGTGCCGACGGCTTGATTCCAACAGCGCTAATAGAAGACTGTATTCTTTTCCTCGTCCGCAGGGCTGGCAACGTTGAGACTCTGTATTTGAAAAACGTTCACGCTCAGGCTGGAGGTGCACCATCCCGCCGTTAAACCATCATCATTTGATCAACGCTGCCTCAGCAGTTCTCCTTTCATTCAGTTCGAAGTCTCGGTTTAGCTTTTCGCGCGGATCAGATTATTCGACCATTTTTGCATACAAAATCTTCGTATCTAGTATTTTCCAATCTTTTCAAGCTCGTTCTCTTCAATCAATCATTAGGCCTTTCTAAATTTCGACTGCTGTACTCCATTCTTTTCTCTTTACTGCTTTTTCGACTTGTCCCAATCATTCCAAGCTCATTTCCTTGCGTGCAAGTTCATTCATCATTTTTGTGGCTATTCATTTCTGGCATGGTTCCCTTGAACCACAAGTGGCTCTGTTCTATAGTGCAAATTGCGTTTTGTCGACGGGAATGATTACCATTGAATATTGGTCAACATGGGTCTACTCTAAGTCAAGCCAGTTGCTCTTCCTTCTCCTATTTACATGCTACCCCCCCCCCCCCCCAAAGGGTATCTTCAAACATGGATAATTCATTCAACATCTTGCATAAGAGAAATGACAACATATTCCCTCTCATGTATAGAGCTCGTTGGGGAGAATGATTTGAAGGGAAGCTTGTTTTGATCAGTTGGCCAACTATTGCACCTCTCATGATTGGAGCACTTCCCGTCGTGATTTAGAGTGCTTTTTAGACCTCTCTTAGTCTTAAATTAAGAGCAAAATTAATATTCCAACCAGCTCACCTGAGAGCTATTGCCAGAAGGCTTCATAAAAAAGATTTTTTTTGATAAAAAATTTAGATCTAAGGGGTGTAGATTGCGACGGGAAGTCATCCATTGGAGGACTTCCCGTTGGAATCTGCGGGTCCCCCAGAACCGATCTAGAGCCTCAAAAACCAAATTCCCCTGCGAGAATCTAGAGTTTTTGAGTCTAGATTGACTTCTGCAAGTGCTCCAGTTCACATGGGAAGTCCTCCATTGGAGGACTTCCCGTCAACATCTGCGGGTCTCCCAGAGCTGGTTTAGAGGCTCAAAATTCAAATTTCTCTGCGAGAATCAAGAATTTTCGGGTCTAGACCAACTTCTGCGAGGGCCCCAGATCCGACGGGAAGTCCTCCATTGTTTCACAAAATCCAATTTATCTGGTTTTGATGACACACTGAAAGGTTCTCTGGTCTGATTTTTTCCCTTAAAATGTGTAATTGTGCCTCAACTATCTGATCACCATCAACTTCCTGTATTCTTCTGACTTTTCCTCGGCCACAGCCTGTCACCAAATGCTTTGAACTTACCTGGGCACCTTGGGCCATGCCATGCCAGCTTTACTTGATTACTTACCCTGCCCAATGACACATCTACTCTAGGCCTTATAATGCTACTGTTTTATAATTGCACATTGTATTCCAGTGTATTTTGAAATCCTATTGAAACTTCTTTCTGATTTCTTTTTCATTTCTTTTCTATTTTCAAATGGTTTTTGAATAGAAAACCCAAAAATTCAAAGTATTGGTTTATAATTGGGGTCTGAGATGTGGTTGATAATAATTATAAAGATAATAGCCTGGTTCACATTAGCCAGTTCCAATGGCTGATCACCGTGTTAAAAGTTGCTGATAGAAAAATATTTTTTTTAGATGGATTCGGAATAATCTGGGGGACTATGGACTACACATTCAAAAATGGAGGTGTTTTTAAGTATCAATGATTTGCTGATTACAGCTAAACTTTTTGCTGATGACTGGCTATTGTGAACCGGGCTGATAATAATAATAATAATAATAATAATAATAATTGATTGGCCCACCAGAGGCCTCTACAACCAGGTGCGTTTGGCCTGTCTTCTTGGCAGTTTTGACCGTTCCACATGTTGCAGCCTGGTGGGACACTTGACATGTTTCAATGGCTGAGATTGTTGTTTGTCCAGAGCCAACAGTTCCAGCCCCTTGCCCATGCAACATTGTGGCTTCAACCACGCCAGAAATGTGAGTTTTCAGGTTGGTTGTGAGGTTGGGGTTGCTGCACAAACATCCCATTGAGCCTCCTGGTCACCAAGAACAAAAAGGAAACAAGTTAGAAAGAAAAGGAAGAAGAAGAAGCAAAAAGAAAAGAAAAAAGATTAAGAGGAGAAAAGAAAAACAACTGACAGATGGTGTTCCAAGTATTGATAGCAGTCCAAATGTTGATAGGACTTGGTTATGGCTGGATGACTCTATCAAACATGAACTGATGAGTTGCAGTCAACCTGCACCCTGTATCTTAGTGTGTGGGTGCAATTGAGGTTTACCCCCGGACATAAACATGTGGGAGGGTACTGCACATTGTTCTGGTCCACCCCTTGGAAGTCTCAGGGAGGTACCACCAAATTATGTCAACAAATGGACTTCAGCTTGCATTGAGGTTTGATTGAAGCTTGCTGCATGCAAACTGGTAGCAGTTGCTTAAATTTTTCCTGTCGTGAGGAGGGGGGGGGGGGGGTGGGGGTGTTGGTGCAGGGAGTTGATTTCTTTTTGGCAAACTCATACCTTTCCAAGAGTATGTATAATTATGCGGCCAAATTCTAGGATTTTACCGGTTTCAACTAGGTTCACAAA